ACATTCATTATGGAGAGTCAAACTCTCCATCTATCTGCTGTCAAAGTCAAGGTCCGCGGGCCAAATGTGGCCCATCACAGCATTTTATGTGGCCCATGAGAGCTTCAAAGCTTTAAAGTCATTTTTGGCCACAAACTTCATCTCCCATAATGCATGTTGATTATTTTAGGAAAGGTGAGTTTAGTCTGTCCTGGTGCTGCAGAGAAATCTTTATTTTCTGTTTGGGTCAGATTTATCAGCCCGTTCAGTTTCCTCTTTTTTCTATAATGTTTTCTGAACTATTACGTCAAATTATCTGCGACGAAATTACCAAATAAGGTCTGGACTTACCAACTGCAATTTCCTCATCTTAACCCCTAATTTACACTACACGCGGTCCGGCTCCGCAGCAAATACTCACCGATTATAATTGAGTGAGTTTACACTCAGCGGACAGCGATCAGGCAAAATTAGATCCGATCCTATTTCTGCTGGATGCCGGAGTCAATTTTTAAAGATTACGTCGCACCAACAGGGAGAGGAACGAGCACAACAACCATTTTTTCAAAATAAGACACCATAATTTTGTCGAAATTGCAGCTATACTAATAAAAATATGGATATATTTCTACTTAAATGCTGTCAGAATGTATGGTTTAACACATTTATGTATGTACACATGTATGGTAACACACATGATACACGTGGATTTTATTTTGAAATCAGAAGTTTCAAAACGACTACAGCGATACAGTTTCAACCATAGATATCAAAGGCTTTTATATCTTAAGTTTTCAGCTGTGTTTGGAGTTCATCTTTCACAGAATTCATTATTTTTTGCTCTGACTTCCACATTTATCACTGGTTTTATCACGAGATCTCCTTCCTGCACACCCTCCCTCCTCTGTCTGTCGGACCGGAGCGGAGGCTGGTTGCAAACTAACAGCTGCAAACCACAGCGGAGCGGAGCCGCATGTAGTGTAAATCCAGGGTAATTCTCCTCTGGTTCTGGGTCAGACTCTGGTTCTGGGTCAGACTCTGGTTCTGGGTCAGACTCTGGCTGCAACATGTGAGGCTGGATGAACAAGTCAACCCTTGTTGACAGCTTTTAATTCAGTTATAAATAAAAAGTTTATGTAATCTAGAAAATGTAATATCAAACCAGAGTGGACCGGTCTGGAAGCAGGAGGGGGGCGGGGCTTGAAGCGTCTTAAAGGCGCAGTAACAAAACGAGTTGTTTTGAGAGACACGGCAGGAAAGTGGAGATGGTAAAGTTAAAATAAGGAGGAATCGGACCAAATCATTGTAGTTCCACTTCATAAAGACCCAACTGAAGGATTTAAATTAATAAAGGAAGAATTTAAAAACATCATGTCTGCTTTAACTTGTGGGAGTTCACTGGGAAGCGGGAGAGTTCAGAATTCAAGGCAGCTACTCACCACAACTCAGTAGTGAGTTAAACTTCTTCTTTTAATAG